CATAAGAGCGCCACGTCACTGATGGTCCGCGCGGCCTGTGCTGACCGCGCCGCAGCCTGAGCTGACCGCGCCGCTGTCTGAGCTGACCGCGCCGCGGCCTGAGCTGACCGCGCCGCGGCCTGTGCTGACCGTGCCGCAGCCTGAGCTGACCGTGCCGCAGCCTGAGCTGACCGCGCCACAGCCTGAGCTGACCGCGCCTTTTTCACCGCAGGTCTCCAAGGAGGAGTACGACACGTGCCGTATCACTAACCCCAACCCGCGCATCATCGCCGTCTGCGACAAGCCGTACAAGCTGATGTTCTTCACCATCACGTTCCGGTCGTTCACACCGCAGCCGGGCGGCCTGGAGTTCAGGCCCGGGCAGGACTACTTCTTTATCTGTAAGGGCGCCCCACCATCCGCTGACGCTGTCTCTGCTCAGACAACAGCGTTGAGTGTCTGCTGTTAGGTAGTAACTTGTAGCAAGCGGGGGAAGGGGAGCTTGTTGAGTCATGTTCGTTATCGTGAATGAACGTGCTCATGTAATTCAAGCTGATTGAACCGTAGCAGTGCGTGATACGATGTTAATGTTCGTACATGTTCTGATCGTGCGGTTGAGCGAAATGTTCCTCTCTTTTCAAGCGCGGTTCATCGGAAAGAACGGTAACTACGTGTGGCCTGGCGTGCAATGTAGCCTCGTTTCGCTCAGCTGGTGCATGTAAAGCACCGCCATTCACCACCCTGCAGCTATGCACTCCACCTCCAGCTGCATGCCTCCTGCACCTTGCCGCCGCTTGCCTGGGCGTTTAGCTGCCCTCCAGCCCGTCTACGATGCGGCCCTTACCGCCCAGCCCGGCGGCGAACTGTACCGACTCCCCTCTCTCTGCCTTGCGGTCCTGCTGCGGCCTAACTCAGCGGTGGAGGCGGCGGCCTGCCCGCTCGCCCCCGCCCGGCCTCCGTGTGCGCATTCAGCAGCGACTGCCAGGATGACGCGATTGCCAACAGCAGCCCGCCCTTCCCGGCTCCGTCCTCACGCGTCTCGTTTGTGTTTGTCTGCATGTTTGTGAGCCTGGATGTCGACTTCCGGAAGAGCTGCTCCGGGTGCAAGCGTCAATTCACTGTCTGCACTTCACTCTTTATACGTTCAGAGTACCTGCTGCTGGTGCCCCGTGTGCGGTTTCAAAGCGACGTGCGCCGGCGACTGGTCACGAATAATCCCAAGCACCACCGTCACCCCATCCATTGTATCGCTCACGCCTATATCGTGATGCAACACAACTTGGACATCATATCTGCCCAAGGGTAGGGAGGCAGCCGGCCAGGTGGGGTCACGTGCCCCGCGTGACATCTCTGGGAGCGTGCCCTCACGACCCGTCCGTCTATTGCAGCGACATCCGCCCGGGGCGACATGCTGCGTCGCATCGGCGGTCGCTGCTCCACGCACAACATGAAGGTTGTCTTCAAGGTGTGCTGCAACGAGACGGAGCAGAACCACATCGTCGACCACGGCACCGGTGAGCGAGGGAGGCACGGAGGGGGTGATGGGCGAGGCGGTGACTCAGGCGGGTCGCTCGGCCCTCTGGTAGCTCGCTATCGGCCAGGCCGTCCGCGGCCGAAGGCTCCCATGACCATACTGGCGGCACGAGCTGGCGTGAATCTGGCAGCGCGGCGCGCACGAGCTGGCATGGATCTAACACCGCGGCGCGACGCGGCTGGCGTGAATCTGGCAGCGCGGCGCGCACGAGCTGGCATGGATCTAACAGCGCGGCGCGGCGCGGGTGGCATGGATCTGGCGGCGCGGCGCGGCACGGGCTGGCATGGATCTAGCGGCGCGGCGCGGCACGGGCTGGCATGGATCTAGCGGCGCGGCGCGGCGCGGGCGGCATGGATCTGGCGGCGCGGCGCGGCACGGGCTGGCATGGATCTAACAGCGCGGCGCGGCGCGGCTGGCATGGATCTGGCGGCGCGGCGCGGCACGGGCTGGCATGGATCTAGCGGTGCGGCGCGGCGCGGGCGGCATGGATCTGGCGGCGCGGCGCGGCGCGGCTCGCATGCCGGCGACACGTGCGGGCCAGTCAGCTGCGACGGCACATCAGCTCGGGAACGTTCCGGAGTGACATCCTGTTCAGCCGAGGGGTGACGCCGCAGATCTACCGGCGGAGCAGCTGATGCAATGTGCACGCGGTGGTGGTCACAGTCGCTGCATGAGATATCGTCTATCGGTTATCGTCGCTTGCGGATCGGACTGGTTTGGCAAGGTCGTGAAGGCCGATTGTTGCACTTCGGAATGCTTGCATGGCATGGATGTCAACGTGGATTATTCGGAGACGTTCCACGGGTGGACGCAGCAGGTGAGCCGCGAACATGAGCGCTCACTGAGCTGTCGCAAGAAGCCGCGGATCATAACACTGATATACAATTATCATCCATCACCCCATATGTGATGCAAACGCATGCCCATAAATTTGCAACAATTTTTTGCTCACCCATAAGCGTTGGACGTGCCACATGACCCGAGCCTCACACCGACGGCCGACGCGTGTCCGGCACTCTGGAGACCTTTGTCGGCCCCGTGGCTGACGTGTTGCCGCGCCCTCGACAGGTGCTCTGCCCGGGCCGGGGCCGCAGCAGCCGCTGCCGGCCGACGAGGCGGCGTCGACCGCGACGCCCGACTGGCTGTCGGCGCGGACGACGGCGGTCAGCACGGCGCGCCCGACCACGCGCCACTCGTACAAGGGCACGCACGACCTGTACGGCCTGCACGTGCCTTCCATCAACGTCAAGGCCACCACTAAAAAGACAGGTAAACCGCCGCCGTCAGGGGAGACGGGTGTCTCGCGTGTGATGAGTTCGGTCGTGATGGCGCGGTGCTGTCACGACCGGGACAAGGTAAGCCACTTGCAGAAGGGTTTTGTGTTCGCTTGGAGTGACGCTGTTCAGTTTAGCCGTCGGGACAGCAATGTGATGGAGAAAAGAGCGGTAGCGTTGGCGAATTGCGGTCGGGCACGTCTTCGGATTGGTATGCGGTGTCGTCTCTCACGCCGATTCCTGTTGCAGACGAGTTCGACAAAAACAAACACCCGAACGACGGTGTGGCGAAAAAGGGAGGACTTAAGTCGGCGGCTGGGAGCTTGGACTCATGCGCAGCGCTAGCCGTCAGCATAGGTCTCCTGTTACTGAGGCTGGTGCCCGGCTGAGTCGCCGACGACGCCAATAGCCTGTGTAAATGCGTGTACAGGCGTGCGTGAGCGAGTGAGTGTGGACGCGCTGCAGTGCTGCCATCGTGGGACAGCTTACGGAAGCTGTGGTTGCGGACACGTTGTCGTGGCGCCTCCAGCGGCTGGGCGGTCGCCGCGTGAAGCTTTACTTTGTGATTGAGGATCGGGCTTGATTGAAGATTGAAATTGACGGATGATTTTGTGATGGAAGATATTTTGCTGGCCATGTGTATGAGGGCCATTGTGATACGTTGTACTTGTATTGTCCTATCTTGAATGTTAAATGATGATAATAGCCTTCCTGCCGCCAGACATATTGTAAACCATGTGGATAAGTCAGAGCGACGGTAGATGCTAGTATTATCCTACAAGCGGCAAATCCTGATTCTCTCTTCTGTGGTGTGTTCACGCTGAGGCACCGCCTCCCTGCTCCGTCGGCGTACTTTCCAGATTTGCCGTACCGTTCACATAGCAAGTGCCTACATCGTCAGGTTTCAAGTGGCCACTCGCAAATGACGGAGCGCAGCCATCGTCGGCGTTGTGTTAGTGTTGGACGTTTCGTTGTACTGTTGCGTGTTCTGCCATCTTCTGCTGTCTCCACCAATGTTCCTGACGGATTGCTCAGAGAATACGTGCTTGAACGATCAATAGTTTATCAGCCGCTCTCGGGCTTGGCCAAATGTGAACTTAGGTTTTGTCATCAAAATGTCGTGTGCCATATGACTGTTGTTCTTGTTGCGTTTCGCTTTGTCTCACCTGGAAGCCCGGCGACACATCAGCTAGATCGCTTATCCCAAAGAGGCCGTCATATGATTTATTTGATCAACAGCATCTGCTCCTTTTCTCAATCGGTTCGGTACGTGTAAGCTTGATTAGAGGCAACAGCGGAGCGTTTCCTTTCTCAAGGTGCATCATCTTTTATATCTAGCTTGTACTTGAATGTAATAAATACTTGTCATCAGAATTTCTTCCAATGCGTGGCGGTTGTCGTGCGGCCCCTCGTCATCACGTAAACCCGGCATGAGTGCAGGTCTGAAGCAGCAATCTTCTCCTTTTGAAGGCGCGGACGAGATGCCTATGCATGGACTCGCTGGCTGAACGGAGGTTCGGGATCACAGAATCATCCAATGACGACGATACGTAGAAGCTGATCAAAATAGCATAGATAAGCCACGGAGATCACAGACTGCTCTATCTGGATCTCTGATATCGTCACAAAAATGGAAACGTTGCGGATATATTTACCACGCTGGGCACGCAGCGCTACAGATCAATTGAGAGGGCGGGGGGAGGGGGGACGGCGTGATGGTCACATAAACAGATGTCTATGAAAGTCAACATCATATGACTCGGCCTTAAGAATGTCGTCAATAACAATGGACAAAATGTCCACATTAAGCACACACGGTGCAAATTGTAGATTTCCTAGGTCCGTTCGTAGATCTTAACAAATATCAATAAACACAGATAGCGCGTCTCAACAACAAAACAGATCAACAAACATGCATTGACAGCTCGTGTACTCATGCACAGCAAACCTCAAACCAGCAAACCAAACCCATCGATGGACACTACGACCCGTCCACTGGCACGCAGCTACAAATGTTAGAGTAAAAGGCTAGGGGTTCGCGCACCGTTCGCGGCTTCTTCACATTCACAGCCTTTGTACCGGCAGCAGGGTGGACCCCTGGCGGCCTTTCCTAGCAGCAGATCCCTTTCGAGGTCATCCCTTAGTGAGACCGGACGCCTGCCGCGCGCCAGCCACCGCTCCGCGTCTGCCTCCGCCGCCCGGCCGGCACGCCGTCATTGGACGATCGACACCTTGCCGTCGCGCAGCCAGCGGCCAAGCAGTGGGTCAGACTCGGGCGGGGCGGCGCCGGGCGCGCGGCGGCGCGGCGGCGGCCGCCGGCCCGGCGATGCCAGCAGCCGGTCCAGCAGCGCGTCCGCCGCCGGCGTACCGTCGGTCGACCACGCCCGCCGCGGGCTGTCGGCACACGCCAGGGCAGCCGGCGGGGCGCCGCCGACGGCGGGCGGCGGCGACCGCGCCACGCTCGCCGCCGACAGGGTCGCGCCCGCGGCGTCCTGGGCGGGGACGGCGCCGGTGTGAGGTCCCGAGTCCACCGGTCCGGCCGCGGCCTCCGGGACCGCGGAATGCAGCGGTCCAGCCGCGGCTTCAGCGGCGTCGGCAGGCCCCTCACCGACCGCGTCTCTCAGCGCGGTGCTGGCCGTCTGGCCGGCACTGTCGCACTTCTCCGCGCCGCTCCGGCCACCCGGAGCAGCGCCGTTGGCGGCCGGCGCCGGCCGAGAGGCTGCCGCCCGGCCGTCGGTACCCTCCCGAGCGGCGACCACCGCCCACCCGCCGCCCGCTGGCCCCCCGGCGCGAGCAGCGCTCGTCCCAGGTCGATGCGAGAAGCGAACAGTGACGCGCCCGCGGTGTCGGCCCGCTCTGTCGGTGGTTTTGCGGTGTTTTGCAGGCAGCGTTGGCACCGGGTCCACGACACGGGCTGGATGGGCGCTGAAACGGCGAGAGGAACTCACTAAGAGATATTACTCACTGACAAACTGTTCAATTTGCTTATATAATATCTCCCTCGCTCACTCCCTCAATATAAAATGTCACCCTCTTTCTATCCCTCTCAATATGAGCTGGGCATTTGTCACTGAGACGGACAGCCATGCCCAAACTTTGTACAATATCTGAGAAACTCGTAGCGGCCTCATGACTGTCGTGACCTTCGGTGCATAGCAACAGACTGCAGACCTAATTACGAAAGGAGGCAGGATGGAGCCGGGCGGACGATAATCAGTCGCACAATGGCGGCGGCCAGCAGGCCGGTGCACACCGTCGGACATCCGCGGACGGCCAGCCGGCCGGCGCACACCGTCGGACATCCGCAGACGGCCAGCCGGCCGGCGCACACCGTCGGACGTCCGCAGACGGCCAGCCGGCCGGCGCACACCGTCGGACATCCGCAGACGGCCAGCCGGCCGGCGCACACCGTCGGACATCCGCGGACGGCCAGCCGGCCGGCGCACACCGTCGGACATCCGCGGACGGCCAGCCGGCCGGTGCACACCGTCGGACGTCCGCAGACGGCCAGCCGGCCGGCGCACACCGTCGGACATCCGCGGACGGCCAGCCGGCCGGCGCACACCGTCGGACATCCGCGGACGCCGGTATCCCAGTGAGGGTTCAACACGCGGTGATGCCGCAACAGGGCAGGTTCGCAGACGGTCGGCGACCGCGTCATTATGCCGTTGGCGGGGACCGCGGAGGAGACGATGCACTGCCATGCCACAGAGGTATGCAGACACCTCTATTAAATTGAATAGCTTTCATGAAAGGATTTGGAAAGCATTTCGACGGTGCTATTTCAATTGAGACATGCAATCTCGCAATGAGCTGAATGACACCTGACCCGAACTGCTTCGTGCGGTCACAAGAGCCTGAATTATCGGGATTCCGCCACAATCGAGACAATGTGATGGCCACTCAGCGGAGCTGCATTCGACAAATGGCACTTCACCAACAGGAGAGCCATGGGTTAGGTCATGTCAAACGTTTGGAGGTCGACAATGCTGACGCAACTCAGCCGCGATTACCCAGCAAGATAGTGAAGGGCTCTCCTGTATCTGCTCCATCTGTATCTGCGGCGATAAAGGTGAAGATAGCGGTCATGTTCGAGAACCGTGCATGCTCGTACCATCTTGACACTAGGCACGTGATTGCAGTACGCAAATGCAAGAGGGTGGAAGAGCCGGCATAGCGGAGTACCATTCGCCAAATCCGTGACGCAGCCTCCCCGCAGCTTGATTAACAGCCGCCCTTGGATTCTTATATCAATATTTTGTTATCTACAGGGCCTATGAACCATTAGTTCCGGAGTTTTATGTGGGTAATGAATGGAATTTGGTTGCAAAATGCTGCATGATAATGCATGAGTTGCATGATAGGATGTAGTCTGCCTTTCCACATAGACCCACCGGTCTCGCCAGTTTTCAGGCTGCAGGATGACGAAACTGCCAAAAGACTTCAGAAATATATGAGTGACATTACGGGATTCCAACAGACACTTCAACGGCGAAAACTAAGCTTGTTGACGTTGAATTTGTAATCTCCTGTTTTTGTTAACGCAAGCAGGCTGGCCACCCCGGTCGCTCCAGCAGCAGGGGTGACCCACAAGGGTACAGCTCACGTGGCTATCATCCAGTCGGCATTACATCAGCTCATCTGTACCATCAGAGCGTGCAGCATATGCCTGTCACAAGACAGCTGGGAGCAGTCTTGTGACACTAGGGACGGACTGAAGGGAGACCCCAGTCGAGCGCGCCCGGCGTGATGCAACTGGGGCAGTCACGACGGGCTTTCACGGGCCCGCGCCCCATGGAGAGATGACGAGGTGGGCGGCCTTCGCCACACAGCACTGACCTGACCGACTGTGTGCTGACGTGTCCGACAGTGTACTAACGGGTCCGACAGAGCACTGACCTGACCGACAGTGTACCGACGTGTCCGACAGCGTACTGACCTGACGGACAGTGTACTGACGCGTCCCTCTGTGTACTGACGTGCCCGACAGCGTACTGACCTGACGGACAGTGTACTGATGCGTCCCTCTGTGTACTGGCGTGCCCGACAGCGTACTGACCTGACCAGCAGTGTACCAACCTGACCGACGGTGTGCTGACGTGTCCGACAGTGTACTGACCTGACGGACAGTGTACTGACGCGTCCCTCTGTGTACTGACATGTCCGACAGTGTACTGACCTGACCAGCAGTGTACCGACCTAACCGACGGTGTGCTGACGTGTCCGACAGTGTACTGACGGGTCCGACAGTGTACTGACCTGACCAGCAGTGTACCGACCTGACCGAGTGTACTGACGTGTCCGACAGCTACTGACGTGTCCGACATACACCATCGGATAATGACATGTCCGACAGTGTACTTACGTGTCCCAGAGCCACTGACGTGTCCGACGGAGTTCTGACCCGCCCTGGACCACCAGGCCTGACCTACCCTGGAGTCCTGACCTGCCCTGCCGTTTACTGACCTACCATACCGGGCGTCCGTGGCGGCTCGCTTGCGGGCAGACGGTCGGACCGGTCCCGCCTGGAAACACGCCCAGTGGGCACAGTGAGGTGGCGCCATGGTCAGCAGACAGCGCTGGGCCGGCTCTAGCCCCGCCTGGAAACACGCCCAGTGGGCACAGTGAGGTGGCGCCATGGTCAGCGGACAGCGCTGGGCCGGCTCTAGCCCCGCCTGGAAACACGCCCAGTGGGCACAGTGAGGTGGCGCCATGGTCAGCGGACAGCGCTGGGCCGGCTCTAGCCCCGCACGCCGGCGCCACAGGCAAAACCAGACCCGCTCAAAACGGCACCATTTCGGAAAACATCGCGACACCAGACGGCTGAATCAACAGAGTAACCAGAACCAGCTCACTCAATCTGAAATTCATGCTGGTTAGACTTTTTTATTATTTTGTGTGAAGTCCCTGGTACTGAGAAGAGTTTCCTTCCCCAGGGCACCCTGCAGCACACCTCTGTTACATTCTCGTCACGTTACGCGCCGCACCTGTCGGCGGAGTGGCGCGCACCACTCGGCCGGCTCCTGGGTGCCGTCCCCGAGGACGAACACGGCCCGGGCCGCCTGGCGCGCCACGTGCTCCTCCACGCGGCTGGCGCCCACCAGGGCCGCGTTACCGTGCGTGTGCTGCACACCGCACGATTCTGGAAAGCACCGGGGTATCAAACAGTCGTGCCCTCTATGCATTCCGCGGAGGGACGACCATAACGCTACGCGGTTACTTGGTTTCGCATATCAGCCAGTTCACCATGAGTATTTGACCATCAAAAACATCGATGTGGAAACAACTGACCACATGGATAAGCCGCTGAAACAAAGGACGAAGTAAAAACAATTTTCCGTTCACTACATGAGGGTGAGAAACACGTTGCTTACTAAGTGCGGCATCCAGGGGCGCCGTGCTAGGTGTTCGGGTTTGGGCAGTCTCCGACGGCGACGGTGCCTCCACCTCGTCTCCAGATGTCAGCACCTGCTCGTCGTCGGAGGGCGCCACTGTCGTGTAGTCGCTGACCGTGAGGCCGGCCACGCCGGTCTGTACGGTGGGCAGCGCGGCCGTCGCCTCCTGCTCTACTGGGGACGGCACTGACGTCAGAGGGCGGACCGAGTCCAGCGAGCAGCCCCAACGGACGGAGCAGCATGGCGCCGCTGCCAAACAGATATGAAAGATGGGGGCTGATGAACTTCAGCTGGTATACTGAAAAACTCACGTTCACAATATCAGGATTGTTAGGGCTGGTTAAAAAATTACCGCCAACAGTTAGGAAAATAAAGGATGGCGTTGGACAGCCGTGATTGTGACGCTCTCAGTGTCATTCTCATGACGTAATTTAAAGGTTACTTGCCATCCTTTACCTAGCACTTCATGGTACGTCGAAGATCACCTATTGTCAGTAAAATTCGAAACCCCAACACCAGGAGCCAACGGTGCGTGCTTTCCCTCCCTGCCTGTCGCTCGATGGTGGCGTGTCGCACCATGGCCGGTGGAGACCCTCCAGCCGGCGGTGCCGCCCCGCCCCGCCTCGCCCGCCGGTCGGGGGTGGCACATGACGCTCCAGCCGGCGGTGCCGCCCCGTCCCGCTCCGCACCGCCCGCCGGTCGGAGGTGGCGTGCCGTACCGTGGCCGGTGAGGAGGCGCTCCAGCCGGCGGTGCCGCCCCGCCCCGCCCCGCCCGCCGGTCGGAGGTGGCGTGCCGTACCGTGGCCGGTGAGGAGGCGCTCCAGCCGGCGGTGCCGCCCCGCTCCGCACCGCCCGCCGGTCGGAGGTGGCGTGCCGCACCGTGGCCGGTGAGGAGGCGCTCCAGCCGGCGGTGCCGCCCCGCCCCGCCTCGCCCGCCGGTCGTCGGTGGCGTGCCGTACCGTGGCCGGTGAGGAGGCGCTCCAGCCGGCGGTGCCGCCCGCCCCGCCCCCCCCCCCCCGCCGGTCGGAGGTGGCGTGCCGTACCGTGGCCGGTGAGCCTCCAGCCGGCGGTGCCGCCCCGCCCCGCCCCGCGCCGCCCGTCGGTAGAGGGCGCGTGCCGTACCGTGGCTGGTGAGGAGGCGCTCCAGCCGGCGGTGCCGCCCCGCCCCGCCCCGCGCCGCCCGTCGGTAGAGGGCGGCGTGCCGTACCGTGGCCGGTGAGGAGGCGCTCCAGCCGGCGGTGCCGCCCCGCTCCGCCCCGCGCCGCCCGTCGGTAGAGGGCGGCGTGCCGTACCGTGGCTGGTGAGGAGGCGCTCCAGCCGGCGGTGCCGCCCCGCCCCGCCTCGCCCGCCCGTCGGTAGAGGGCGGCGTGCCGTACCGTGGCTGGTGAGGAGGCGCTCCAGCCGGCGGTGCCGCTCCAGCAGCCGCTCAGTCAGCCGGCCGTCCTCGCGCAGGCGCAGCAGGTTGGCTAGGCCGAACAGCTCGCCGGCGCGGCGGCCGGCCGAGGCGGCGAACAGGCGCGGCCCGGCGCCGCCCTCCAGCGCCACCGTCGCCAGCTGCTGCTTGTACACCTGGCGGCGCAAAGGTAACCGGACACAAAGTCAAAAGCCAAGAAGTCAAGGGACACATGGTCATAGGAGATACGGTCGAATGGCAAAAATTCAAAAGGGGTAAAAGCCAAACATCAAAAAGGCAAAAAGTTAAAAAGTCACAAGGACAAAGAGCTGCATGGCAAAAAGCGAAGGAGATACAAAGCAGAATGCAAAAGGTCAAACATACAAAATTCGAGAGGAATACAGTTCGCATGAATAATGCCAAACGGCAAAAAGCTAAAAGAATAAGAAGCCAAAAGGCAAAACGTCCCATGTTTAAAAGTAAAAAGAAAGTTGAATGCGGCAAGTCAAAAGATACACCAAATGTAAAATGTTACCATGGTGAACGCCAAAAGGGATACAGACCACAACAAAAGTAGGCTTCCCACTTGTCTCCCACTTCCCTTGTAGCCTCCCACTTGTATGTAAAAAAGGGAAACGACAAGTCTAAGAAATCCCAGTCAAAATGAAAGAAATGTCTGAGAGACCTGAAGCAAGTAAGTCAGAAAGAACTCTCGTCCATGACTGCGCGGGGCATTTCCCGCTCAAATTCAGGGAACTCCGTGGGCTCTGCTCAGCCACGAGGTCTACGCGTCTCATTTGTGTTTAGGCTGGGCCTCCTTTACATGTTAGCAATGGCCACTTGTACGCCTGCAGTAGCCCTCTTGTTGTGGGTGTGGTCAGTGGCGGTGTAACAGGGAAGGAGACGGAGCAGTTACACACCCATTTGTTTTTTGGACATTTTCTGCAACAAGTCGTAAATTTGACTGTAGTTTCTACACTAAGTGTGCCTACTTACAGAGTTCATTAAAAACGAAGAAGTTACCCCCATCTCAATATTTGCCCACACAATTGTTAAAACTATATCATTTATCAGACAGTTTGATAACACCAACCGAATACTTTTGACAGTAACTTGCTTTCTGCTACTTAAACTGTACAATCACAAACATGGCTGCTTACAAGCAACAAGGTACGTTTACAGATTTTAGTACGTGCCTTCTGTCTAAGATTGTTTTTTGTTTCTTTCAATGGTCTCAGTAAGCTAACGAATGGGTTTACCCACGCCTTCCCAAAACCCGAGATGACCGAGCAGCATGACATACGCTTTCTCCAAATTAGAAAGGCACGGTACCGTTCTGAGGGGTTGAAACAGATAAGGGTGATGAAGTTATTGTGCGGATCTCCTTGCTCCTTTCCTGCCAATGCTCAAGAGACCCATTAGGTAGCCCCATCCAGGAGGATTCTCTGAGAGGATATTCCATTTTGTCTGGACCGTCTGAAACCGCCTGAAATGTTCTTCCATAGCTAAACATCCGCGGCACTGCCCGTCGGGGAAATGTCCTTTCATGACCATGGTTTGCTATGGTCGAAGGGATCTAAAGCAGATAAGCTAACAGGCATCACATGGCGGAAAAGCATCGTGATTTAGGACACCTACCCAGGGGGATATATTCCAACTGAGTTGAATAAGGGGCTTCAGCTCCCCCTCCCCAACACACACATGGACTTGTCCCCCGAGCTTTGGGAAAAGGGCGCCAAATCTGAGGAGAAACCTATTTGTTGGCAAATTTGGGGGTTGGCTGGACCATTTTTCACTGCTCAAAATTTCACCGTTCGGTCATTTTTCGCTGCCCACGACCATTTTCAGAAACTAAGACCTTGCACTTCTGTCACCCAAGAGGGCCCTTTTTCGGAAGGGCCCTCTCGAGTGACGGCCCTTGCTCCAAATCCAAAGCTGGAAACCGGCCTATGCTCCTTTTGCGGAGTTTCATAACCCATAAATGGCGTATTTCAAACTCGTTGAGCGGGGCTGGCTCTCCAACCGCCCCCCCCCCCCCCTGCCCCAGCTTTTTGCCTGTTGACTTATCTTTCTGAGTTTTATTGCTTTTGGTTCTTTGGCTGCTTGACTTTTTGCGTTTAACTTTTATCGTTTTGACTTTTTGGCATTTGGCCTTTTGTTCTTATGTTTTTTTGCCATGTTAATTGTCACCATTTCCATTTATGTCCTTTGACTTTTTGTTTTCAACTGTTTGTCCTGTAACCGGTGGCCGCCGACAGAGGGCTGGCGCCGTGAGAGGGCTGCGCGGCGGGACGGCCGAGCTGGCAGTGTCGGGGCGGGACGCTTCGGGCCATGGAACGGCAGATGCAACAAAAACCAAGCTTGTACAGAGTAGCAAAGCCACATTTAATCGATGCAAACATGCGCCAAAATATCAACATGATATTGAAATTAGTGTACTTAATGACAAGCGTTAAAGAAGAAAAAACACACACAATGCACAGAACTTGGCACAAGGCAAGTTGACAAGCTCAATTCAGCGAACATGTTTCACAGATTCGACGCATGCGCCAGTGTACAAGCAAGCGCAGGTAGCATCGAACAACGAGCAAGTCAACATTAGATCCCAAACCAGCATTCGGATCCCCAAGCCTAGGCAGATCACATCTCACTAAATGGCATCGGTTAAGTTATTCCCCTGCCATCACTCTCAGCACTGCGAGGCAGACGTCTTCTAGTCAAAGACCTTGGGCTCACGGCCAAAACGTACTCTGGATACTGCACCGACTCACCGGAGCATTCAGGCTCGCATGGCACAACACGAGCGCCAGGAAACCCAGGCACCGATGCCTCAAAGGCCGCTCGTGATCAGCGGGGGACAGCTGCTGGCGCCTCACCTGCTGCCCGTGATCAGCGGGGGACAGCTGCTGGCGCCTCACCTGCCGCCCGTGATCAGCGGGGACAGCTGCTGGCGCTTCACCTGCCGCTCGTGATCAGCAGGGGACAGCTGCCGGCGCCTCACCTGCCGCTCGTGATCAGCAGGGGACAGCTGCTGGCGCCTCACCTGCCGCTCGTGATCAGCTGGGGACGGCTGCTGGCGCCTCACCTGCCGCTCGTGATCAGCTGGGGACGGCTGCTGGCGCCTCACCTGCCGCTCGTGGTCAGCAGGGGACAGCTGCTGGCGCCTCACCTGCCGCTCGTGGTCAGCAGGGGACAGCTGCTGGCGCCTCACCTGTCGGAGGTAGATGTTTTCCTCGATGGTGCCGGCCGACACCAGTCGGAACACGCTGACGTCCCGCGCCTGGCCCAGCCGGTATGCCCTGGGGGCAGACGGTGTCCACAGCACGTCAGCCAAACATCAGCCGGTTCGAAACGCGCCACTGATAGCTAGCGTCATTATCGACGGCCTAAAATTCCAAGAGCCACAATAACGCAATTAGCCCGCATTCGCACGGCCAAGCTACGCGCGCCGATGGTTTCACAAACACGCGGCAAGACACATGTCAAAAACTACTGGCATTCAGCCTCAGGTCTCGACTTGACCGGAGTCCTCCGTCCTTGCATACCGACTGCCTCAGTCTGGTCAGACATGTCCCGTAACAAAAGGACCTCTTAATGCGCTCACTGCACCAGACGTCCCTGTCTCCTTCCACCACCCACCGCCGGTCCCCCGCCCTCGTGGCCGCGCTTAAGCGCACCTGTCCTGCGCTTGCAGGTCGTGCGCCGGGTTCCAGCTGGGGTCAAACACGACCACGGCCGTGGCGCCGGTGATGTTGAGTCCCTGACCGCCGGCGCGGGTCGACACTAGCGCCACGGCCCACTGCGGCCGGCGGCTAAACTCGGCGCACAGGCGCGGCCGCTCCGCCGCCGCCGTCTCGCCGTCAATGTACGTCAGCTCGTACCTGTAGTGAGGCGGCGACATGGTGACATAGTAAGGCTGCGACATGGTGACGTGGTGAGGTGGTGGCATGGTGACGTGGTGAGGCGGTGGCATGGTCACGTGGTGAGGCGGTGGCATGGTGATGTGGTGAGGCGGTGGCATGGTGACGTGGTAAGGCGGTGGCATGGTCACGTGGTGAGGCGGTGGCATGGTGATGTAGTGAGGCGGTGGCATGGCGATGTGGTGAGGCGGTGGCATGGTCGCGTGGTGAGGCGGCGACATGGTGACGTGGTGAGGCAGTGGCATGATCACAGGGTGAGGCGGCGACATGGTGACGTGGTGAGGCGGTGGCATGGTGACGTGGTGAGGCGGCGACATGGTGACGTGGTGAGGCAGTGGCATGATCACAGGGTGAGGCGGCGACATGGTGACGTGGTGAGGCGGTGGCATGGTGACGTGGTGAGGCGGTGGCATGGTGACGTGGTGAGGCGGAAACGTGGTCACGTGGTGACGTGCTGACGTGCTAACTGGGACAGTGGGGCGACGCTCGCGCACAGCCGGGGTCAAAGCAGGATATATTCGCAATTGATGTCACACAACTGCACTGTGCATATCTGCTGACGTGGTGACTTTTATTTCGACGTTTATTTTATTTCAAACGTAAAATAAACACGGGGTGCATGTTGCGTGAGAATGCGTGAAGCGTGGCACCGCATTATGCAGCCTCATTCCACCTATGAGGCGGCGTAAGCAAGCAATGGTAGATTGAATAGTCACACGGAAAATTAAGAGATCAGTACTGATTAGTTGACCGAAAGGCCGAGCGACTGCTTAATCGTAGTGTCCACAGTGTGAGGCAATGCAGTCATGCTCATTGGTGAGAAAATGAATGATAGTGCGCTACGAACACTATTGCGTGATGGTACATCTCCAGACATCTTGTCTGCAGATAGAAAGTGTGGTAAAATTGCCTTACCCCTGGTTCGAGACATAGGCTCGTATAATCTTCAGCATCCTCGTCGAATAAGAAAATATAAGGATCTTCTGAGATCGTTGCCGAAAATGGTCGATCAAGGCAATAAGCACCTGCAAAATACACACATGTCACATGGAACCACTTAACAATGAAACTGTAGTACCAAGCTCTCACAAAACTGCCAACACTAGACCCAAAGGGTTCTAAACGGGCACGAAAACGCAGTAAAAAACGCTAGAACACGTGTACTCTGGTAAGACTACTACCATCCCATAGATTGATACTATATAACTTCATCCCATAGACTAACAATATGTCCCTTTAATGCGCCGTCGTATTCCTCAGAACCTACTACCGCAAGCAGTAAAATTATGGCATATGTTATGAATATGGGATCGCCACAGGATAGAAAGAAAAAGCACAACTACAAAAGCAGGCAACTGCACATTCTTGCCACCTTAAGACGGGCAATGCATGATTGCAAAATGATGAACATTGATTGAGCGCTGAAGCCTATCACCGTGTTAGCTCGTGCATTGTACACCAGACACCGTTAGCCATCGAGACAACATGCATTGCTGACACCAGCTTACCTTCATTTTACCGCAATACTTCGGGTCAGATAAGGCCCGGAACGCCTGAATACGACTCATGCTGGCGAATTCCGGAAACCTCTCGAAAACCAACCGGCAAACCTGAAAATACGCCAGCAGCACGTCCAGGGAGACAGTCAATAATACGTGGGAACATTGCGTCCATTCATCAAACACAACAACTTCACCATGCACCACAAATAAAGTATGCTCACGTTACACCACATGGCTTCGTTCACACAAGACGTCGGAAAAGGCAGGTGATATACGCATGTTGCAAGGTTTGCCAATCAACCTCAGAACGATCACCATTCACCAATAACAGACAACGAACATTCCCAATGTATATACATTTCCGTGTCCCTACATGCTGATGCACGAGTCACGTTTTTACGACCTTACTGGCCAACATCCTCCCAGCAGAGGCCGCGTCTGGAGGTGGCCCCACGGCACCTCCCAGTCCCACCCCTGCCATGCGCCGCCCCACGGCACCTCCCGGTTCCGCTCTTGCTTCCCCCCCCCCCCCCCTCCGCTGCCCCGGGAGCCGTCGGCGCGCGGCCTCGCCTGGCGCGCCAGCACGTTCTGCTGCTCCGTGGCGGCGCCAGGCCGGGGCGTCAGCAGATACGGGTGGTTGCTGATCTTCAGCAGCAGTGCGATGTAGGAGAACGCCAGCGAGGAGGGAGCTGCGGAGTCTCGGCCGCGCTGAGGGACAGCGGAACGGCAGCCCCTCAGGCGGGGGCACGGGTAGCCAGGTTGCAAAATGAGGGTTGCAAAATGGCCGGCCAGATACAATAGGAACGGGAAGTCATACCACCCAACTGCCAACGTGAACAGCATGCTACACCAGCATGAAATGTAGGTCGGAGCATCAAGTGATACCGGGGTTGAGCTCACCAGCACACACTGGTGCTCTGCAGCCACTGTATAACATCACAGATAAACCGCGGCGTGTATAGTCTTTGAGCTAATCGCCGACCAGCTCAAAAGGCAAACACCAATAGACTACCAGCGCAGCAGCACTCGAAACCAACGAACAGGACAGGTTTCCCGCAACATGCAGAATACTTGCAAAGCAGACAACTACAAAATAGCCCACCTCCAAGAACGAGCCCTTACCCTGAGGCAGCACCTGCTGGCCTTCCTTCCGCTGCGGCAGAAGCAGGGCTTGGTCCGCTGCAGCAGCATCTGTACGTCCGGTGAGGCCAGGACGGTCCTGTATACCTCCCGCTGGAACTCAGACGGCGGGCAGTAGACAATCTGCCGACACAAGCACACACTGGGTGGTGACGGGCACGCATGACCCGCGGCTCAGCCGTCCGCCCGTAAGGTGGGGCGCGGCAGGCCACCCGAGGTGTGTGGGCTGGAGTTGACAGTATTGTTCTGCTGCTTCTGACCGGTCACTTTCAAAGATCAGAGGCTGCTTCCTTCGATCTATGATATCGGATCATTTCGAGAGGCGACTGTGTCGTTTGAGTGGCAGAAGAGATCAATGACCGCCGGACGCAGCGCTCAACCAGCATGTTATAATATTGGCTTTATTGACTACAAATATTCAAATACTGGTGCGGGCAGAATGGGTGGGAGAGCTACACAAAACCAGGAGAGTGTCAAGTCAAGTGAAATGACAAATCAATGAAGACAGAGGGACAGAGGGAGGTATGATGAGAGGAAGAGAGCAGGTGTGTGTGAGAGAGAGGGATATATATATATATATATATATATATATATATATATGCACATATATACATACATATATATAACATAATAGATATATGCATATATACACACACATATATATATATATATATATATATATATATATATATATATATATATATATATCCCTCTCTCTCACACACACCTGCTTGCTGCCTCTCATCATACCTCTCTCTGTCCCTCTGTCTTCATTTATTTGTCATTTCACTTGGCTATGGCTTGGTACTATCACTTGGCTAGCCAAGCTATTATATATACACACGCACACGCACACGCACACGCACACGCACACGCACACGCACACGCACACGCACACGCACACGCACACGCACACGCACACGCACACGCACGCACACACACACACACACACACACACATGTATATATATATATATATATATATATATATATATATATATATATATATATACATATGCATGCAGTGCAAAAAAAATGAAGAGAGCACAGAGGACAGAAGAAGCTGACAGTACTGAACATCACAGGAGAATAGCCGAGGCAAGAGAAGTTAAAATTAAAAAGGCAAGAGGCAGCAAGGGACAAAAAGGAAAGAATTTCAGGTTGAAGAGTACAAAAGCCACGAGATGGGGGAAGGTAAGAAAAAGAGAAGGGAGAAGAAGAGGAGAGGACAGAGGAGGAGAGGGACGGGAGAGAAGAGCACCAATGAGGACAGGAGAGAACATGGGATGGGAAGGAGAAAGGGAGGAGTGGTGAGTGGAAAGGAGAGGAGACATGAGAGAGGAGAAAAGATGAGGCAATAAAAGGAGAGAAGGGAATGAATAAGGAAAGAAGAAGACGAGAGAATAAATGAGACGGGGCAAAAAGAGGCGAGTAGGTGGGGAAAGGGGAGGGATGGGCAGGGCAGGGCACAGGAGGGCAGGGCAGGGCAGGGCAGGGCAGGTCAGGTCAGGGCAGGGCAGGGCAGGGCAGGGCAGGGCAGGGCAGGGCAGGGCAGGACAGGGCAAGAAAATGGAGGGGGGAGACGAGCTGATGAGAGCAAAGCAAACAAGGACACGCCGCCTAACTAAATGGCTGTCCAGGCGGTCAATCTTGTGCGCCGCAAAACGACCCGGGCAGCTGAAGCGCCCTGCACCACACCAGCGACAGACCTGGTCCGTCTTGTTGGGCAACTGATTGGCGATGAGCGCCTTGGTGCGGCGCAGCAGCCAGCGCTGCCGGAGGGTGGTGAGCAGCTCGCGGCGGCGCCACGACTCGGCCACCTCCCGTTTGACGGCGCAGCGCCGCCGGCCTCGCTCTATGGGTCTGCGCAGGGGCGCGACCCACACACGTCTGTCAGGACTCCCAGATACCGGAGACACACACACAAACACAGTATGGTGGTCTGACGCACGGCAGACGCTGTAGCAAAGTCCGGTACACAGCAGCCACACAGGCCAGAAAAGAGGACGCCAGACCCAGGTAGTCGGACGAGTCAAACTGACCACAGCAGCATTATGCAGTAGTATGTGGGCAAGCAAATGCTAGTAATGCCTCAAACAAACAAGTCAGAACAGCGCATGTTTATGCACAGCAGGCAAAGCAGGCCAGCACAGGCTGGCAACATACACAGCAGACAAGACAAGTCAGCACAAGCTAGCATCACACACAGCAGACAAAGCAGGCCAGCACAGGCTGGCACCACACACAGCAGACAAGGCAGGCCAGAACAGGCTAGCAACATACACAGCAGACAAGGCAGGCCAGAACAGGCTAGCAACATACACAGCAGACAAGGCAGGCCAGAACAGGCTAGCAACATACACAGCAGACAAGTCAGGCCAGAACAGGCTAGCAACATACACAGCAGACAAGGCAGGCCAGAACAGGCTAGCAACATACACAGCAGACAAGTCAAACCAGCACAGGCTAGCACCACACATAGCAGACAAGCTAGGCCAGCACAGGCTGGCATCATGCACAACAGACAAGACAGGCTAGCATCACACACAGCACCAAGGCATGCCTGCACAGGTTAGCATCAAACACAACCAGTGCAACAAGACAGTGCGCCGTCCAACGGCTGGCGACAGAACTACCTGACCCCGCCAGTGGTACCTCAGCATTGAGCTTTCGTTTTAGTATTCACGAGACAACATGAACACCAGGTTTGCTGGGTTCCTCCGCTCACCTCACGAAATCGTTCACGAACTGCTCGGAAGTCCCGAGGCAGCCTGGGTTGGCCCAGTCCAGCACACACCAGAACTCGCGCAGGTCATTCTGAAACGACGCCACGCCAGCAATAAGGCGAACAGTGGCATAAGCCATACTCCTGGTCCCAAGAGCTTCTCCCAAGATTGTCTGCTGCGACTGTGTGGGATTAAGGTTGTGAGTCTATTTCTTACATCAAATCCAAGGTATTCCCACTTGACTCAAGAACTGACGAAGTCAGTTCAGCTTGTGCGTCTCTCGGCACGGAGATGAATTCACACTGACCTGCACAACGGTGCCGGAGAGACCGACGCGTCGGCGACACTCCAGCCGGCCCAGCGCCTGCGTCACCAGTGATGTCATCGACTTGAGCCGGTGCACCTCATCCACAATGACGACCGACCAATTGGGGCCGTTCAGCGCGGTCACGTGATCCCGCGCCGCCTCGAAGGAAGACATGACGACATCAACCGTTCCGTTTCGCGCGGATCTCAGAGTCTCCGATCTGGCGGGCACGGAACGTTCCATCACGTCGGACGCTGCGTGCAATGCCCACTTAGGAGTTAGCATGACATGGATATCGTCGTAAATAGTGAACGTCATCGGAATGCGTCAGGGAGCTCGAAAACAGGACAGTAAGCACAGCTTGGATCTTCTCTGATCTCTAAAACGTCCCATTGAAATGTCTGTCCATACAGAGATGAGCAAAAACCTTGACACCCAATAAAGTATGGATGCCCCACGACAGGACCTACTTCAGTCTATCCCTCTCAGTCGATGCCTCGACGATCCAGCCGCACCACCCACCTCTTCTTCCCCACGAACAAGCCGACGTCGAAGCGGCCCCAGGTACCCAGCTCGGCCACCCAGTTGTACAGCACGGCCGCCGGACAAATGACGAGTACGGGCGACGGCCGACAGGGCGGCGCCACCGCCGTCGCGCTATCCAGGCTCTGCAGAAAGGACGGCGTTTCCCGCCTGTCGGCCGCGTCTGCCGAACGCAGGCCCATGACCAATGGTGCGGCAGGGGAGGGGTGGTGTGGCAGGTGGCACCCTCACTGGACCAGCACCTTAAAATGATTTCAGTCACTCTGAGGCAGCACATTTATTTTCACTATATAAGTTTGTAGAAGCATAAACACAGGTGGCATAATAAAACACAGCACCAAGTATGCACACATGCTCTCACCTGATTTGCCAAGGATGGCTGATATGAATGCTATGGACTGGATGGTTTTACCCAGACCCATATCATCAGCCAGGATGGCTCCAGCATTCTGGCTGTACTGACGGTAGAGGAACTTAACACCCTCACGCTGGTATGGCCGTAGGTAATTGTTGATGGAGCCAGGCACCTGTACAAGACATCCACAGCTGAGAAGTGGCTACCACATTAAGCAAACAAAGGCATTGTCACATTAGCAAGACAAGTGAGCATCTAAATTGACAGCACATGTGCCTGGAACCCAAGGGTGATTGAGCACCCAATAGAGTTTCATGTTTAGAGGATCCTGGAACTGAATCTTGGATCTTTATTGGGGCCCCAAGCACATGTCTGAAGTAGACATATCAACCAGAAAAAAACATACCCTTTTCATCATATTTGTCAAAGCAAAGCTTCAGCTGGCTTGGCATCCAGTGTGAGTGCATTAGTCTCTGGTTTGACAAAGATATAGACAAACAGTACATTTACACTAGTGAGCAATTGCATTATCATAAAAGTACTTTCCACTCTGCCATATCCATTTCTATATTCTTCTCTAAACAAAAACAATTAATATATATTTCACAACAGTTATATTTCATGGTGTCTTAGTCTGGCCAGCCATCCACTAAATGACAAAATATGATGTGCAGCAAGAAAAGATGAGGCACACTTGTGAGTTGCAACAGCCTATATAGATGATAGTCCAATGGATAAAATACATTCTTTTTACCTGAACATTCAAATTGTCTTTTACTTCCAGCACAAGACAGCCTTCCTCTGTGTCTGAGTCTTCCATGTTCACCTAAAACTGCCTGTTTATTTGGGCTGGGCTTAAAATCTTCTGTTAAATGTAAACATCTGACAACCAAAGTGTTTGTGACAGAAGAAATCATGGACTATTGCATCTTAGAATTTAGCATGATTGGAACAAAGTCTTAATTACTTAAATGTTGCTAACTGATTTATATGCCATCAATCTTCATAACATGGTGTGCAATACACATCCAAGTCCTGCCAAATGCAAGCAGAACATATAAAATCAAATTATTTTCCCCAGGAAACACAACATAGAAGCACAATGCAAACAATGAGCACAGCCAGACAAATGCAACTGAAGCAAATCAAGTAAAATAAGGAAGGAATAGAAACTACTAAACTGCTATGCGAGCGAGTAGGCAATTTAATGGTGAACAAATTGAAGATTCCGCGTGCGATATCGTCTCAAATGGGGGGCTTTAAGGCCTTCCAGCCCCCTTCTCTGGTAAGAACGACAAATAACTCAATACCTTCTCATTGAGCCTGGCCAAAACTATTCAAACAACAGAAGTGTGCTTGGTGAGGGCCATCCCATCCTCATTTCTACCATACCCCCCTCAGCCGAACCGCGACACACCACTCGGCAAGGGCCCAATAGCATTACATTCGCGTCTGCGGCATATTATGTCCCCACAGCGCTGAAAATGGGTATAAAGATTAGACCATCAAATCCTACATATCCAATACCACAACCGACTGGTCGCCACCGAGTAATCAGACATTGACATTAGGTATGTGGTATTCAGCAGCGTAGGTGGGGGGGGGGGGGGGAAGCTCAGGGAGCTCTTGCCCCTAGGTTCCGATTTGAGGACCCGAAGGGCCCGAATGGCCAGATGGAGGTCCTATTCAGGGGCTCCGGCCCGAAGGGCCTGGCACTCCAATGCCCGCCAGAGGGCCCTGTGCGCTAACCAGTCACTTCATGTACATGTCCATGTCTCCATGTTACAGTTGATTCCATGTCCGTCTGAGCCCTTGAGACCAATTTCCAAAGCCGAACGAAGGCCGGGGTCCGTGCTTTGCAATATTCGGAATTGCTGACACAATGAGGGGCTCCTGTGTCGGTGAATGGCCACAATGCCGAGCAGGGCTCCTGTGGCGGCAAGTGGCCCCGAGTCGGAGCGTTGTTTGAAGATGCCCAAAAAGTGACCAAAGTGTCTGTCGAAGCCAAATATCAAGGACCCATTGGGATGGCTGAAGGATGTGAAGGGCTGGCTGGATGTCACATTGATGACCCCACCCTCTTATTTTTTAGTATTTTAACGGGCCAATGAGTGGATTATAATTTATCCACCTGTTGGCCACGGCCTTATATTAGCAGCGGGGTCGGCACCGTGCGGGATAAGGAGACCGCAGCGCCTGACGTTGAGTTCTTTTTTGTTGCTAAGATATGGGAGCATTCATGCTCAAAATTACGTGTCGTGGCCAAGGCATGTCAACATAGGAGTAGTAGGAACAGGGCGGGTCACGGGGCCATGTCCCCCAGTTTTCAAGGTGGGGAGGGGGGCAGCAGTGTTAGCTGCCCCCCTCTCCACACTTTCCGATTTACCTAGTTCACCAGCCATCTTTTCGTCGTCATCCTTTTTTCGTTTGCTCATTGGCCATCGCTTGGTGTCACAATCACAGGGCCGGCGCCGCGCGGCCTACGGAGACTGCAATGCCGGGCGTCGAGGCTGTTGTTGCTATGACCAGTGAGCGCGCATGTTCAAAGCCATATTACATAATTTTTATCAGTAATGAATTAGGACTGAATCTTGAACATTTACAGACTGACATGAATAACCCATGTTAGTACAAATTTGTTACCCCATTTCATCTACAGTCTACGTTCAGGAAGCCCTCAATATCTCTGAAGAACACAAAAAAACATGAAACTGAAGCCTATGTGACAATTATTGAAACACCTGCGGCGATCAAGGATGTTGTCGCGTCAATGAGGGATCCTGTGCTGATCCGGGGTCAACTGCGCGGGTCAGAAGGCCTCCCGTGTCAGGGAGGGGAACAACGTAAACTAATATATCCTTCTAATGGCCTTCGGATGGACCAGGAGACCTCACCCCGTGCCGCCAGAAGACACCCCGCGATGGGAAGGAATAGCCTTTCAGCCCTGGACCGGAAACGGTAGCGTGCCCATGGTGTTGTATTCAAGGGGCCCCTTGCCCGGAAGAAAATAAGGGGTATCATAATTGTGGAGTAGAGTGGGGGTTTATTCTTGTTGAATAGAATGGGTCGACATGCTTGCCTGAGAACGTTCCTGTTTCAGAATAGATAAGTGAAACAAATTACATCAAAAGGTTTGAACATGCCCGCCCCTGACCTCGAGTGCAAGGACAGCGATGGCCTGGGTTGCAGCTTTCGTAAAACCGAACGGCGTGGACCAATGCAAACGCCACCAGACGGCGGGCGCCAAGTTCATCTATCTTCTGAACTGGTGAATAGTCACAGAAAAACGAAAGATAGAGATTGTATCCTTTACTCTTCAGTTCCATCACCACTTGCACACTAGCACACCAGCGGTGCTTTAAGGGCCAATCCGTTCTTACCGTCGGTCTAAAAATCACACACGTGGAACATGCGCCCAGACTGCATTTTAAAGGCAAGGTTTGATGTCCTAAAGCGTTCAAAGGTACCCCTTCAGAAACGTCATCAAATTCGTCCACCAGTGGGCCACGGCTAAGAGTTAGCCACTGAGCTAACGCTCCGCGGACTATGACGACCGCAACACTTGATGTCGAGGCTTTTGTTGCTAAGATTTGCGAGCGCGCATGTTAAAAAAACACGGTGCATAAACTGTACCACTAATCGATTTTGACCGAATGTTGAATATTTACAAGCATGGCTGGGCTACGCTAGTACACATTGTTAATCACTCGATCTGCAATCAAATTTTGAGCCTTCAAATTGCGATCAAACATATCGATCTACAATCTACCTTCGCAATGCCGTCAATGTGTGTAGAACCCAGGTAAAACAATTTTAACAAAGCTTTTGAATTTCATCTGTTTTAGAACAGTCAACCGAACCATTGTAAATAAGGGGCGCCGGCGATGCATTCCATGCGGTCGTTCAGCGCCTGAATTCCACAATTTATTGACTTAAAAATACAAACAGTATTTATCCCACAGTAGCTTCTGGTTTCTTTTCTGGTTACAAGGTGAAGATGACAATAAAAGGAAAAACCATGCCCTCGTTCACAAGTAAGCTATATCCGGGGATTTATTTTTTCGTGGGGGGGGGGGCACCATAAGGGGGACTTTAGTCAACCCTGTGTTCCCCCTCGGCAAGGCCCTGGCTACGCCCCCGCCTCCACACAAAACCAGATCAAGTCGGCTACGTTGAAGGATGGGCGATTGAATGTCCGGCGGACCAATTCATACCTAAGGCAGGCAGCTTCCCGGAGGTTTTTCTGGTGGTGTGGTGTGAGGAAATATAATTCGAAAAAAGATGCTGTTGCAGGCGTCCGACACATGCTTTACACACCAATTAGTAGTAACGCTGATCCATAAATATGCAACAAAGCAGCCACAAGATCAATTCGCAGTCAGTCATGCGGGAGACAGCCGAGCTAGGGCAGTGGCCGCCGACGGCGGACGGGAGCAGGGCCCAGATAAGGAATATATGACAGAAGGGTCTTTATTCTGTGGCTTGGTTTTTAAAGAAGGCTCTCCAGTTTTATGGCTTTTGTCGCATTGCTTTTGGCAGTTTCAAGCTTTCGAGTCTGTTACCGCCTAAAATGCTGCGACAAGTCTTATCTCTTGAAAAGTAGCCAGCGAGATGAAGGCGCATGAAAAATCTGTCGCACTGCGAACCATCGATTAACTTTTAAAATTCTTACCAGCCTTATGTCCAGGCCGTATTTTGCCATCAACCTTGTGGGAGCAGATGCCTCTTCAATGACCCAAAATGCCTACCCGCTCGTGGAACTTCTTGTCCCCAGGAAAGATAATGGTGAAACGGACGAATGATGCTGGGGAGCTGGATAGCCTTATCTGCCGAATGACATTGATGAATCGAATTGGCAAGATTGTGCGCTGGTGAGAAACAGCTTTGGCTGCATATATAACATAGCATATAACTGCATATATAACATATATAACATAACATAACATAGCTATGACATTTGAATTTGGAATGAAGAACAATGACAACCTCCACCTCTACCCCCCCCCCCCCCCCGCAGTCATCGGGCTTGTCTTCCAGACAAAGTTCCTAAAGTACGTCCCGAGCTTGGCCTTCTCACTTTTTGAAAGGTTTCTATGCGTACGATTATCCAAGTCGACTGCTCTTTTTCAGTCTTTTCATTTTAAATTGCGATATGCGCTCTATAAATATCCGATATACACTATATATTGGTATTCCCGGTTTGTGTTCAGAAGTTTGCCACTGCGCGTTCAAGAAATGAAAACAGCCTCCTTGTTTCCGGCTTGCCCCAAAATCTACAAGTTTCGCCTTGATCCCATGCGGTGCAATGCCCTGTGTCCAGAACGTTTCGATAAGCCCGAATGGTTTATATCCGCATTTCTTATCGCTCTCTCATTTTCACCCTTTCTGGTTCTTAGGCTTCCACATGTCTTCCCACATAAAGCTTTGCACATTCACATGTGTATCGGCAAATCATTAATGTGCTTTAATCAGTTTTTAACACGTCTTTGGCCAAGCTCAGTAACTTCCACGATTTTTCTATGCCCATTGGCCATACCCCGCCCTTGGGCCGAAAAGGCACCAAAAACATCGAGAAGATTTCGTCTTTCGTCAAAAAAGCACGTCGAGAAGATTTCCAAGGCTTGCTACCCCGTCACCAATTACGTATGCTCTAAAACGCAACAGTGCCGTTAATTAAACGGCGCAGCTATCTGGCCTATTCCGCCCCGACACGCTGCCAGCCTCCCTTGAATAACTCTCCACCGCACTGGGCCGCGAATGCGCCGAAACCTGCGAACCGCAGAACGAGGGCCCACTTAAGAGGCCAATTAACGGTAACCGAGGAAACGTCCGCGCTGCTGCACCGTGTCTGCAGCGCTTCCGCCCCTTGTTCTATTGCACCATGACGTTCCATTAGTCACGGGGCGTCTGCGGCGGCAGCAATTCGAGGCGCCCCACCGCACGGCGACGGCCGCCATGCTTCACCGTTACCGTCTGAACAGGAGGTGCTAAAGCCTAGCCGCGCCCACTCCCCACCGGCGGCAGCCACTCGGGCCCGCACGCTCCCTGCTGTAGCTCGATGCGCTCGCCACTCCGGCAGGGGGTGGCGGTGTCGACAGTATGCGCCGTGTGGACGCTGTGGACACTGTGGACGCTGTGGACGGTGGAGGCGCCTCCGAGCGACAGCCTGCAGGGCCAGCTGGAGAGGGCGTTCGACCGACACCTGCGCGAATGGAAGGCCGGGGGTCTGGTGCCGGGCATAGGCGCCGAGTCGGCCTCTTCGGGTAGCCCCTCCCGCCACCGTACCCTGCTCAGGTCAAGACGCCGGGTACCCGTCCTCTACATGAAGAAAAACAACAAAAAGCGGCCGTGTGTGAACACGGGGGGCATGCTGTCTGGATTCAACAGCTTCAACTATCTCAGCTTTGTTGTTGGTGTAATGACACTGGTACTCAACATTAACAATAACATAAACAATAACAACAATAATAATAATAACAATAATAATAACAACCTTGACAACAATAATGTGAACGCTAATCTCAACAGCAACAACGCGAACCAGGTGAGGTTTCAAGCTTTGTTTATTCTTTTCATATTCGTCGATTGAGATTCCTCGTGCGATCTTCACTCATCTGTCTATTTACAATTCCAATAGCTTTGTTTGCTGGTGTTATTTCCGGATGCTTACCCGAAATGAAACAATCGTAGGTGCTGCCCACCAAACTTTTTCGTGTGGGTATCGATCTGTGGCGATGAAGCTAAACGTGCATATTGCTACTGTGTACGCTTTGTTTCAATGCACCGGACACAACCCAGCAATTTGTTCATCTTAAAACTGAGCCCTTAATAAATCAAAGTTTTTAAGATGAGTAGTTGCAAGAAGAGAGAGCTCCAGCAGGAACGATATTCAGCATGTACTTGTTACAGCATTGTTTCACCCAAACATTGGATTGAATCTAAGAGGTATAATACATGCAATACGTGGTAATTGTTTTATCTTATAACGTTTGCACAGAACTTCCCATGTTTTCTAATGTCATGACCAACTTAACGCGAGGTGCATCAGTCAACTTATTCCGCCTTTCCATGTTTGATCTGTAAATCGCAGTCCGTGAGTTGATCACGCTTCATTCACAGGTGAACATCATGCCGCCGGGAGGAAGACGAAGAAAGCGTCACACGAGGCGATCATTCAAATCCCGCATGAGAGCGAAGCAGCGAGATCTGCAGCACACTGTAGACAGCTGGTGAGACAGGAAGTACCGAGATCCGAAATAGAACATTGCGACTAAATTCGGATTAGCCACACAATCTTTGTATAAAGGCTACAAACGTGACCTAACAATATGCGTACCTGTCCAGCGCATGGGATTGACCATGTGTTACAGCATTAACTGGATTCGAACCTGACTTAATTTGCATGCAAGCGCCATGTGCCGATTACACACATCCTCTCAACAAGAGATGATAACGTTGGCTCGTAAACCGTCCGTCCCCACTTATTTTGGAAGGCACGCAAGACCCAAGCTTCATCTTAACGGGTAGACTCATACATGGACAGATTGAGCCAATTCCGGTAGGAGCGTATAACCACCCGTGATACCAAAATTGCATCTACTTTGTCTGGTTAGCCCGTCCAGTAGAGTTCAGGTTACTTGAGCTGTTTGTTTTCCTGACATGTTACAGGCAGTTTGGAGCAGTGGATGACGACGGGGACCAGGACAAGACTAGGTCAGGTCAGAAAAACTGTGACCATGGACCGAGAAGTGATCCAGTGTATCAACTGGACTGCTCTCTGCGGAGGGCTTGCAGTCATCTGGGGGACCTCGGAGAGCACATTCTTAACCACTCAAGGTACGTCTACTTTGGCACAGCATCGTAGGAACATTTCTTGCTCTTAACTCTACATCGAAGAGAAGATTTATGCTTATTGTCGTTCCCGTGTAGATACGAGGAAGGCGTGTCAACATCCGGACTATAGACCGAATACTCCCACCGCATGCTGACGGTGCCATTAGATATGTCTGATTACGTGCCATGGATGTACAGTTCTTACGATCACAGGATGTATTACGGATGGAAAGTGCTGAAAAAGTCAAGATGGCAAAGACGCCATGATAAACGTCTTTCAATGACAGCAGCTTGAAGCTAGGCTCAATCATGCACGCTGGTTTGGCCGCCGCAACACCTGCTGCATTGCATTCTCCATCCATGGATTGCAGTGTATGCACGAGCATACAGGCACAAGCACCACACAGCTCGCCATGCGGAATCGAACCGAGTCATGTCATATACGTAATGTCTATTGATTCTATAGTCTGGCGAGCAAATCTGTCAGATAACTGAGTCCTCATTTTTCAGATACGTTTTTCAATAAAGGATCGGCACCGATGTCAACTACAGTTTAACCGACTGCACCGGTGTAATCCACTGGTTGACCGAGAGCTACACTTGTCCTGCCACGAGAGAAAGTGAATATGGCAGGACGAGTCACAACAGTATGACTACCTGTATTCTATGCATGTGTTGTATTGTTAAGTTGGGCAAAGGTATCACATGCTAGTTATTATCCATTTTGGCACTATCAGTTTGCAGGTGCCGAGTTATGGGCGAAAAAAAACACTCCAAAGAAGTTGTTGCAGGCCGGTTATTGCAAAGTGCCCGGATGAATGATAAAAACCTTGACGCCGTTTTACAGCCCGAAGACGTATTGTGAAGTCTCAGTTCACTTACGTTGGTGGAGCGCTTCCTTTATGAAGAGCTTATGCTACGATGAGTCAATACGACCATTAGTTTGCGAACGTGAAATTTTGATGTAAATGTGCCATGCCAACTCTCAACTCAAATGCGACAGCAAAAAGGAGCGGTCGATCAGACAGATCAGAATTATTGATTGTTTAATTTCGAACCTAACCCATTTCGGGGTATCAACGCGTTGGTATGCTGGGAAAGCGGGCGCAGCGGCAGCGAGCGAGAGGGTACGATGACAGCACGGATCCGAGTCAGTGCTGCCACTGGGGCCGGGTCAGTGTTGCCATTGAACCCACCGGCTTGCCCCTCCCCGTCCTGTCCCCGCCATACCCTTACCCGTCCACCTGAGGGTAGGCTAAGCTGAAGTTCGCCATCAGCAAATTATTGCATTGTTTCTTCTTTTGTCGCTTCTTCGCTTAAGATGAAGGCAACCACGTTAATTTATAAGCATTTTTATTTGGCTAGTCATATTCTTAGTCGGTTCCAATTCGCTGGGCATAAAATGTAGGCACTGGTCTCAACTTTAGGTAGGTACGTACGGACAACGACCTGACAGCTGCGTACGGTGGAATGAAAACCAACTCAGGCCATTATTTTTGGTGGCGCTCGTTTACTGCCGTGTACAAACGCGATGGAAAATAAAGTTATCAAAGTGCGCTGTCTGAACTCTGAAATCCAAATGATAGAGAACACAAGATGCCAGTGCATGTCCGACATCATGGTGCGACTGTCCGGAAACATCACACCAACTATAGCACATCGCGGCACTCGTCCAGCTCCTTCGCATTGTTCTCACTGGGACGACCACTAAGTCGCTGCTTGATGCGCACTCTGGAGCTATGGCAGACCAAACAAGCCCATGCCGAACCCGATGCAAGCCAATTCAGTGTTTCCATGGTCGCGAGCGGGTATGCAGTAGATAAATCATCTCTTATCTGTTGTCCACCATTCCAACAATTGCAAAAACGCCCGCTGGCGGCAAACGCGGCGTGAATTCTGTGGCGCCGACTCACGGCTCGGTACGAGCCCTTGTCGTGTTTCAAGCCGGTGCGCAAAGTGCGTTTCCTCGTAAACTACACGAAATATCCACATCCCGTCCGGCGGAAAATTTTTGTAGCCTGCTCCAACCGCCATGCGCCTGCTAATGACCCGCTGCTCCGCCCTGCTCGGCGGACCGCTGCGAATCCTGGCACGCGGCCAACCCTGGCCCGCCGACACCCCGTCTGCGCGGTCATCGTCACACGACACACCGGCCGGCGTGTGTCTTGATCATGTGACCTGGTTTCGTGGTTTATCTGTTTGATAGTGATTGATCACGACGATGATGCCTGATGCCGTAGACGGTTGATTAGGGCAAATTTCGCTGCTGTCTCCAGCCGCTCCTCCACGTTAAAAACGTAAATAAATGGTGGCGCCCGAGAGCGTCTTGGTCACTTGACCAGGCCGGCTTAGCGTGTCCAGGCATCACGTGACGCACGGCCCGGTGTCCGTGACGCGTGCGTGACCGGTCGCCTGGCGTCCCGTTGTGCGGGGTTATCACAGCAGCTCGATGTAGACCACTTGCACGGGCCGGCTGCGTTAGGGTGAACTAATAACGTGCGGACCGGCGCCCGAAGCTGTTTCCGGCCGCCGGGCGGTCGGCCCGCTGTGACCAGTCCTCCACCGCTACCGGCGCCGGCAGCACGGGCGGCTTCCGCTCACACCGCTGGCTGACCTCGCGGTGGAGGTGCACTAGTCGGCCAGGCCCTGACCGCCAGTGGACGTCGGAGAGGGCACCCCCGCGTGAGCGTCCGGGAACTGCACGGACGCCTCCGGTGCCAGGCAGGAGCTTTTTGGCTGGACACCTCGGTGACAGTGCTGGGCACGTGCCAGTGAATGCTTCCGGTCCCAGCTCACCCTCAGCGATCGGGCGGATGAGTTGACTCGGTGCTCAGCAAGAGGACAGAATCTCAGGCGGACCTGTGATACCCCAACCCCCAGCCCAGCGATGGCCAGACTGCTGCTGGTCGTGGCGCTGCTGCTAGTCGCTGCACACGGCTCGCTCCTGCCCTTCTCTGGCTACGAGACGCTGCAGGACGTGCTGCGTCACTTCGGCTCGCGCGCCACGCTCACGGCACTGTCGGGTCATGAACGGAGCCCGCCGCAGCGATATCCGACCGTCGACCGGTCGGGCGGGCCGGGCTGGGGCGGCCGCTGGGGGGACAGCGGCATCGCCGAGTCGGACGGCGCGTGGGGCGAGACGCGGCGTCAGGACTGGCCCGCCAGCGGGTACACCCTGCCGGAGCGGGTGTGGCCGATCTACCCACCGTGGATGGGGTCCGCCACCGACGCGGAGGTCACTTCGGAGGTCACTTCGGAGGTCACGTCGGAGGTCACGTCGGAGGTCATGTCACCAAGTGACGTCAGATTTGGTGGGGTGTCGTTAGCAGACGGGTCAGATCTGACGTCAGACCCGTTCAGTGACGTCATTTACGTCACGGAGAATGCCACTGATATCACCACTGACAACGTTAGTGCGGATAACTCCTCGGACGTGCCCAAGAACTCGACTGATTTGCGGGAGGTGGTCCGAGACACGCTGGCGTCCATTTTCCAGGACATGCTAGGCGGCTCTGGCTCGTCAACCGCCCCTTCCGAAGAATCGCGGCCGAAATCTGTGCCGGACCAAATCGCCGTGGATTCGGTAAGGGTTCCCACCAACTCTAAACTGCCCTTCGTGAACTGCAGCGGCTGTTCAAATGACGTACAATGGACCCCGCTAGTGCTGCCCCCATCGTCCTTCGACGCAGCCCCGCCGCCCACTCAGCTCGCCGAGCCCGCAGATGTCGGCGACGGCGCGGCCCCGACATCGGACTACGACCTGGGTGGGGAGCCGACAGCGGATTACGATCTGGACAGGGAGCCGACGGCGGATTACGATCTGGACAGGGAGCCGAGCGTCAACTCGCTGGGAGTGAGGCCGAGCTTCGCCGGCGGCGACTACGAGAGGGAAGTCGGCGAAGATCTGAGGGGCGAAGCAACGTCCCTGGAGTATCCGGATTACGGAGACGGCGACCTGGCAGCTGCAGGGTCTGAGAGCGATAGCTATATAAGCCGAAGAGTGTTTGGCCTGTGGAATGGCTTCCGGAGGAAAATGAGAAGGCTGTTTCCGTCTTGGCGTTACTTGACCACGTGGCGTACGCCTTGGTTTATCAAACGATATTTCAGAGGAGGAAAGAAGAAGAAGAAAGTTCACGGGAGGCCGAAGCCATCATACGGCGCTCCCAAACGAAAGCCTCAGGCGTCATACGGTCCTCCGAAGCCTAAACCCAAACCATCGTATGGCACTCCTAAGCGAAAACCTCAGGCATCGTACGGTCCTCCGAAACCCAAACCCAAGCCATCATACGGTCCTCCAAAAACCAAGCCCGGACCATCATATGGGACCCCAAAAGCCAAACCAAAACCATCATACGGGCCCCCAAAAGTAAAACCAAAACCATCATACGGGCCGCCTAAGTCAAAGCCAAAGCCTTCGTACGGTCCTCCGAATGTTAAGTCCAAGCCATCCTACGGACCACCAAAGGGCGAGCCGAGACCGTCATACGGACCCCCTAAAGTAAAACCCAATCTCCAATATGGCTCTCCAAAAGCAAACCCCAGTCCATCTTACGGTCCTCCCAGGGTCAAACCGAAACCCTCTTACGGACCGCCTAGGACTGAGCCTAAACCCTCCTACGGACCGCCTAAGACTAAGCCTAAACCCTCTTACGGACCTCCTAAGGCTAAGCCCAAACCCGCATACGGACCTCCTAAAACTAAACCTAAACCCGCATACGGACCTCCGAAAACAAAACCTAAGCCGTCATATGGCCCTCCCAAAAATGTACTAACCGATTCCTACGGGCCATCGAATCATCCAAAATCCGCGCCAAGGCCAAAACCGTCCTATGGACGGCCTCAGATTTCACATCAAATACCCATCACATACGCCCCAGCCATCGGATATCCAACACGGAATTATGGTCCACCAAAACAGCCGGGGAAAGGTGGTGGACGTCGTCCAGCTAAGCATCCCAGCAGCCAGTACGGCGCTCCTCAGCAGCCATCGCAGCACACCCCTGTCAGAAAACACTCGCTGGCGTACGGATCACCGAAAGGATTCGGTGACATTCACAAAGACTCGCTGGACGTGCACATACTGGACCCAGTCGTACAGAACGACCACCGTCCACACAAGCAGCCCGACTACCACACCGACGTCAAGGCCTACAGCTTCCCCACCTTCGATACCATTAGCTCCCCCTTCCGCACTCTCTACGACTGGCAGGTGGCGCAGCTGGGCAGCATTATCCGCAAGATCCCGCCGCTGCCGAAGTTCTCGCTGCCGAAGCTGAACTGGAGGCCGCCGCGGCTGAAGTTCCCGCTCTTAACGAACCCGTTCAACCAACACACCCGCGCGCCGGCACACCGCCTCGAGTACACGGACGGCACGCTGCCGGCATACCTGAGGCCGGCCGTCAGCGGCGGAGGCCGGTTGGAGGAGAGGGCCGGCTACCTCGGTCGCTCCGGCATGCCCCGCGCCGTCGAGCTTATCCTCTCCGGCTTCACGCTGCTGTCCGTCATGCTGTTCGTGTACGAGCGCGGCCTGGCCGTCGGTCAGCTCGTGGGCAACAACACGGTCAGCTTCTGGGGGGTGAGCGCGCTGGCCCGCCGCGGCGGTGGCGGCGGCGGCGGCGGCCCTCTGGCAGTGGCCAGCGCCGACCTTCTCCGAGACCTGGCCGGCCTGGCGGAGCGGTGCGCGACGCCGGAGGAGGCGCGGGGCGCCTCCTGTCCGGCCAACTCGAGCCTGCTGGGGCACCTCGTCAGCAGCTACCGCGACCTCGACAATGCCACGGCGACATTCGCGGCCGGGTCCGAGTGCCTGCGAGAAGCTCTCTGTCGGGTGGCCAGAGTCAGACTGGACGACCCGGCGGAAGTGGCGGCAGCCGTGGCCGTCATGTAAGTATCCAGCAGCCCTTGGGTGGGGCAATGCTATTTCGTGGCAAGCATGTTTGATTAGTCAAAAGTGTGAACATGTTTGTGACATACGGTCGCGCGGTTCGTGAGCTCATGGCTTTTATTTTTTGCCTGAACTTGGGCATTTACTTGGTTCTAGAATTTACTGATAAGCAAGCGTGCTTAACAAGCGCAGCACGAACCCCTACAGCTTTTCGCGTTGCGTTCCCCAAAATATTCATGCAGCCCAACCTGGCCAGTCTTTTGACCAGTTCGAAACCGGCACATTTATGTTCTATAGCAGAACAAAACGCTGTCCCACGTCCGAGCCTAACGTCTGCACATGCGTCGGCAGGGCAGCCAGGTCGATGTCCAGCGAAGAGCCGCTCTCAACGTTGCTGAGTCTGGGCGTGCCGTTCTGGCGGGCGGCCGGCACCTCAGGCCAGTCATGTCGACCGTTTTCGCTGCACAACTGCGTCGATGACCCGACCTGAGGTCAATGCCACAGCAGCGACCCAGCGCGCGACCCAGCCGCACCAAAGTCGTAGAGGACCGTCTAGTCATAATTCGTGAGGAGTGCGTTGTTTCGCTACGAGGCATAAGCTTCCGGACATTGTGAGCAATGATGTTCAAGAAGCACCTCAAGAC